TATATTGGATCCCTCATACCCCTGATAGCATTCCTGCAAATGCTTCACACCGTCTCGGCGTTGGTGCTTTTGTCGTCAATAACAAAAGAGAGGTAATCTTCTTCCTCTTTCATTTCTCTTTCTCATCAATCATTCTGTTATATTATACTTTAAACAGTCTCGTTTTGTTTGATAGGTGCTTGTGGTTCAGGAAACCAGTGGTAGATTTGGAGGCACAGGTGTATGGAAGATGCCTACTGGAGCTGTTAATGAAGTATATATCAACATGATTATTCATCAAATTATGAAACTTATAATATGTTCTTTTGATTCATTTTTATCATATTTGCAGGGCGAGGATATTTGTGATGCTGTAATTAGAGAAGTGAAGGAAGAGACAGGGGTAAGCAAACACAAAATATAGTACAGATTAAATTGTTCTATTTCATTTTTTTCTTGTCACCGTCTGTTATTAATATATTTAACTAAACATTCTTCAAAATTTATATTACACCATTGTATATTAAAACAAAAAATGGACTATTCATTTCGAAGTCTTAATGCCATTACTTTTGTTCTTCATGTAGGTAGAGACAGAGTTTGTTGAAGTTTTAGCTTTCAGGTAAGAGTGACTTACACACACCAACCTCGTCAACTAGCATGCAGTCTGAATGTTGGCATAACTATATCTTTTACACAAGAATCATTAGAATGCATGCATATAGTTCACAAATTTTCTATCTTCAATATCTGGCCTGCTACTGACCTTTATGTTTTTCTTCCTGTCTCTTTGGTATCAGGCAAAGCCATAAATCTTTTTTTCAGAAATCAGACTTGTTCTTTGTTTGCATGTTGCAACCTCAATCCTTTGACATTCAAAGTCAGGCCTCAGAAATTGAAGCAACTAAGGTATCTTTATAAAGTTGTAGGATGTTTTTTGACTGGTGGTGACCATATTCCAACATAGTTTGTTTTTCTATTCAGTGGATGCCTGTTGAAGACTATGCAGCCCAACCTTTTGTGCAAGAAAACGAGCTCTTTGATTTTATTGCGAAAATATGCTTATCGAAGTTGAATGACAACTACACTGGTTTTTCTAACGTACCTACTACTACATCTTCTGGCAAAAAAACTTATCTGTATTTAAACAATGATGCTATTGGTAGCCACTTGTTAGCTTCCAAAGAGCAAGCTTAGCATGAAGCTTGCTTTGTTAGTCTCAACAACCATTTGCTTCGAAGTGCGCCTGAATCCTGATTTTATTATGATTTCATGACCATTTTATATTCTTTGTGTTCTTTGTATAGATATAACATATCATGTAACTAGGGATAGTATCTCTTATACAAAATATGATTTCATTTCATGATCTTTTATAATCTTTATATTCTTTGTATAGATATAACATATCATGTAACTAGGGATAGTATCTCTTATATACAAAATATGATTTTATTTCATGACCATTTCTAAACTTTGTATTCATTATATAGATATATCATATCATATCATGTAAATAGGGATGAATAGTATCTCATATATAAAATAGGCTCTATTGTTGTTTTACCACGCCTCATTCAACAAGTGTAGTATTATTTAATAGGGGAAACCCAGATTTTTCTGTTAGTTAAGTATAAAAGGTTTTGAGGTTGAATAAGCAGCTTCATTTATTAAGACTTGATTAAAATACTACATTTATTACATTGATATTGGTAAGAAAGTTGTTGCGGAAATCACTGTGGTTGGAAATCTTGCAATTAGCGGCACGGTTGGTTAGTGCGTTGAAGAATTGCATATTGGCGAGGAACATCGTGCCTTTGTATATAGAGAAGCTGGAAAGTTGCACAGGGCATTCAGAACAAAAATGGCGAGGTCATATTTATTAGCACTTTATTTGAAAGCGCTATCAAACATATGTTATATATTAGCGCTTTTTGTTTAGAGTGCTATAAAAAAACAAACAAAAAACATGCAAAATACTGACTTTGATAGCACTTTAATTAAAACGCTATTATAAATTGGTACTTTAATAGCGCTTTTAAAGTGCTATTAAATAAGAAATATTTACAATAGTGGCGCGGTTAATAGCACTTTTAAGCGTTATCAAAAACAAAAAAAAAGCGCTATTAAATAGCTTATTTGGCGTAGTGAACACGATAAGCAAACAAAACAACTTAACACATCATAATAATTAAGAGATAAAAACTATCAACACAATATCGTTTGGTCCAAGCATCATCATCATGACATCAACGTCACGTCTCACCTTTTTCCATGAACGATTTACTCTATTTTCGTTCCTCACTGTAATTTGTCTTTCTACTTTTCTGATATGTTCACCTTCAGGAATGTCTCCTTCCAACCAGCGAATCAAGTGCCTTTGAAAATGCTCGAACGTCTGCGTGTTCCAGAGTTTGATCTTCATCGGAGGCTTTGTCAACGAAAAAATAACATTAACATCTCTTTTGATCAGTGAGAACCTTGACAATGGAGTGGAAAACCTTGACAAGGGAGCGAAAGACATTTTCTAAGAGTGATGTGAGAAATGGTGAAGATGAGTGATTGCATTTATAAAAAACCAAATACAACTGTCAAACCACCTACAATGATGCTCTCTCCTTAAAAAGAACATGCATGCGTCACACTATATGACACTACATAAAAGAACAAGTCATGCAGTATGACGTCTCCTCTTTATTTTACATGCATATGCCATACATTATAGCTCATATTCTGTGTGGCGAAATTTTTTTATTTAAAAAGTAGTTATTTTGATAATTTTTTTGAAAAAATAATCATTTAAAAAAAAATAATTTAAAAAACTACACCAAGGTTGTCTAAATGTTAAAGAGAAAACCCATAAAGAGAGTTTAAAGTTTAGGTTCTTATGAATTTAACTTAAATTCTAATTCTAGATTTTGGAGACGTGAAACAATTTAAACAAATTCATGTTGATTAGTGGGAGAAATACGAGTCTTGTGGGAAATAAACATTAATCGTACCTGTAACAAGGACAACCACCAACCCTTACCAACCTTACACCTAAATTCCTACTCCATATTGATTAATGGTTTAATAGAATTTCCAAAAAAATTGCCATTCTGCATTAATGCAAAGCAACTAACTTACCAGATTGAAAAATAGCATAGCTTTAATAATACTCCAAACACTTTGAAATATTTAATTTTACGATCAATGCATATCTAAATCATAGTACTATTCATATCTTGACCCATCATTTCTATCATCATATTAGGTCAAAAAATTAAATTTGAATATGCACATGCATTTATTAATTTAAAAGAGTTATTCTAGTTTATAATTAAGATACTTATTTAAGAGTTCTAGCATGCGATTTACCTTTTTAGGTTTTTTTATGGGCTCTTTAAGGGTTTTAATGCAGTGTGTCTTTTCTAGTTTATGATATGAATTAATAGTAATATTTTAATAAAAATAAGAGGTATGAGAAATTATTATTTATTCTTTCTATTATTGTACTAAGCAATTAAAACTTCATGTGCTTTAATTAAAATTTGACTCAATGCTTTGGCTCAATTAGCATAATCTCCCTAACCATACATTGACGCATTAAATATTTTCAACATCATAATTGTTTGCCTGTTTTATCTAAAGTACTCATAAAATGTTGCTATGAATGTAAATAGCAATTGCGTTTTTGAAATTGTTATGAATTCAAATTTCCACTATAGGACTATCCTTTATTCTCTTAGTCGGTAATTATTCATTTACATGTCAAAAAGTGACATTTTCCTATAATGTTTCTTTCATAGTTAATGAAGTTGGAATTCAGAATCCCTTTTTTAGTAGATTATATATAAATTCCATCTAAACTATTGTAAAACATAATTTATGTTATTGTGAATAAAAAGTCTTGTTAAAATTCAATAAATTTTGACACAAAGAACCACATAGATTTAGTGTTAAATTGTGAGTGCAACAATCAATATCCACACAAACTACAATGTCTGTTTGTGTTTGTAAGAGTAACAAAATTCCACACAGTTAAACAAAATTCAAACCCCAAGGATAAAAAAGATGGTCCCTAAGACCAAAATCCATGATTTATTCCATCTTCTTCTTCTATTCATCTTTTTATATGGGCCCCTCAAAAGCATGCCATCTTAGTGGGACCTTTTTTTTTTATTTTGCACCCACCAAGAAATTTTTTCCATGTGGCGGTGGAAAATAGACTTACTATACGACCCCTACCAATGAGTGACAAAATATGTAACTAAAATATTGCTTCATCAATTCACAATAATAGATCTATTTAATCATTTCATAACAATAATTTCTTTTTTGCTTATACAAAATAACCATAATCATGTTTAATCTCTTTGTTCTATATCATTGCATTTGACTTAAAATTGCATTAGGTCCAAAATACGTGTTAGGCTCAATTGATTGTTGAATCCTAAATAGTAAATCTGAATTACAACGTAAAGTCTACACACTTGACCAGATTCAATAAACAAATATCGTGTCCATTGTAACAAATATGTATTTTTATTTTCTATTTTATCATAAGAAACATGAGACACTCAAACACAAAACTATGAGATTTGAGACAAAATATTCAATTTAATAATATTGATTAAATTTCAGGCACATAAAAATACAAGGGTCCATATCAATGAAGGACAAAAAAACACAAAAGAAAAAGCTGAAATTTGAATTATTTCTCTTTGAGGTGCATATGTCTTTTTTGACACACCTAAACTAAATTGCTTTTTCATTTAAGACCAGAAACACAATATGATAGCCATAGCAATTATTTAGTCCCCCACATATGTAACCAAATGAAATAAAATTTAAAAAATAAAGTGAATCTTACTACATTTTCAGAATCCCAAGAAACATTCACTTTTAAATATCCTTGCCCCTGCATTGACTGACTCCAACTATATACTCATCCAAGTTTCCACTACTTTTTCTATTTCCTTCCACAACTTGTACATAAATACACACACCCCTTCTCATCATTTTTTTCTAACCACAAAATGAATCATCTTCATTCCTTACCTTATACTACTAATAACTTACTCTATGGTTTGGATTATCATAATAATCTTGGACTTGTCAATTCAGACAACAACATGTCTATAAGTACTACACTATTCTTTCTTTCTATAATGTTTTGTAGTATATAGTTTTTTGTAATTGGAATGAATAATGTTAATGTTAATTTTGTGATGTGGCAGTTATGGATGGAAGTGCGACTTCATTTTCAACTCAAGAGTCTTATTTTTCAACTGGTTATTTAGAAGATGCTTTGGTTGAGTTTGGTGAAAGTTCTAAACGTAGACGTTTACTGCCATATACTGATACTGATGATGAACAAAGCAAAAGTACTATTACTACTACTTCCATTGATGATTTTGATAAGGTATATAGTTGAATATGTTTTTTTTTTTTTTGTCTTTGATTTTAAGTTTGAAATTGTTGTAGTTTTGGAAATGAGACTCATTGTTATATGTAACTTCAGAGCTTCTGGAATTTCAACTCTATATGGAACCAACCAGTGGAGAATTTCTACTGCATGGATCAGATTGAAAGGATTTGTGGTTTTTCAGGTAATTTGTCTACTTTTTACGTGCATCCCTTTAGGTAGATATGATCATCAACATTACACCGGACACAATATTAAGGTGACGTAGATGTTTAATACAGACACATGTCAAACATCATACACCTCTTCGATTTAAACTATCTAGGTTATCATTGTTTTTAAAACATAAAAAGTTAGTGTTTGTTTTCCTTTTTAATTAGTTATTGATTGAGAATTTGAAAAAAGATCCCAATGAAATCAAAAAGAAAAAGAAAAGAATAAAGGAAAAGTACAATATTGTTGATAATAGTAATAACTAATGACTTATATTAATTGTTTGTTAATTATTTTTATTTGCTAATTTGTTCTTAAGATGAGCATATAAGTCCATTAAGGAGTAGAATGAATGAGCAACAAAACATTGTTGGAGAAGACACTAAAACAACACAAGAGACAATATCAGCTTCTGAATCACCAAATTCCTCCTCATCTTCATACAAAGAATTATTACCTAAAACCAGCAAAGACAAAGACACCCCACTTGGTATATATATATATATTCTTTCTTACATATATTTTGCGTTGCAGACCGCAGTTTAAAACCATAACTCTGATACATACTTTTTAAAATTATTATAATGATTGAAAACAGGAAGTAGTAGTAGTAGTGAGGAGACGATGAGAAAGAAGAGAGTGTTAAGAAGTACAAGAGTGGTGTATCCATTTGCATTAGTAAAACCAGGAGGAGAAGAAGATGAAGTGACACTAAGTGACATAAATGAAAGGATGTTAATGGCACCAACAAGACCAGTAAGGCATCCAGTTGGTGACTTTGCATGTCGGCCATGCGTATCTGCAACAGGTCCAGGCCTTTCAGGGAAAGCAGTGGTGGCCCTTACTAGAATCCACACTCAAGGTAGAAGAGGCACCATCACTATTATCAGAACCAAAGACTAATTCACAAAACTGTCTATTCTTTTCATCTTATGCCTACTTCTATTGTAGCAGCATTTTCAGCCTTGTTTTCATCTCCTTAATTGTAAAGATGGAAAGTGATATATAATATATGTAATATATTTTTGTATAATATATACTTTTCTTTCATACATTTTGACCAAACATGCATGTACAATTATTTTCAATGTTGTCTAGCTAGAAAATGGAAATTTTAAAAAGTAACATGGACACATATTCAAAAACCCGACATTATATGTGACACTGATATGTCTACACTCAATATTGTTTTTGAGGATGCGTAAAATAGACTACTGCATACGGTCTCAAATTTTTTAAAGTTAAACTATAGTTAAATAAGACTTCATAAAATATCTGTTAAATTAAATCATGATTTAATAGAGTCTCTATTTATTTTATCATAATTAAACTATAACTAACTTACGCAAAACCTAAAAAAAAAACTTAAAAAGGATATGTGAATAATAATTTTAAGAATTAAATAAAATTAAATATGTGTTGATGCAGGTTAGACATCAAACACATATACGTTTTTGTTCAAAGGTGTCTATTGGTGTTATGAAAGATAATATTTCTATAATGAAAAATAAATAATAAGAATAAACAGAAGATAGCACAATGGAGTTAAGCTTTTCTGCCACTATTTGGGACTTTGATAAAGACAGAACCAGAGATGGTGGCATTTGGTGGCATTGTTTCTGCATACACACTAACTTTATTATTCTTGGTGTGGGAAGGTTGATATATATATATATATATATATATATATATATAGTATATTATATTTAAATTTTAATTAAAATGAGATTTTTCAAATATGTAATATAATTTTGTACATCATACTTATTAAAAAAAAAGGTCATATATCATACTAACAAAATGCCAAATATAAAGAACAAGAATAAATGATTGCTGAACATAGAAGCAAGTTTTCTTTCTCTTTTCTCTTTAATTTTTCTTTCTTTTTTTCTTTATTGATTAGATAATATTACTTTTATAGCACAGGCAGAAAGAAAAAAATAATGTGCAGACCTATATACTTAATTACCAATTTCAAAGATTTTAATCTAACTTTTTGTTAGATAAAGACAACTTATAGCTGCCACAAGACTTTTACCTTTTCTTAAACAAGAATTTGTAGCACTAATCTTTCTAATTTCAGCTATTAAAATTTAGTTAGTGAAAGATATTGACAAAGATTCTCACAATATATGAGTACACACTAAAGAACAAAAACATATGACAAATTGACAGAATAGTCTCTCTATTGAATCTAGTAAATTGATACCTCAATCATTTGTCTCGCACTTAATATTTTATTATTTTCACGTAGTGGTTACCAAAAAGCACTAAAATTCTTCATGCCTATTATATTTTTGTTTTGATATGTTGTGGCATTTTCCTCACAGGTCAAACACTAATTAATTTTTTAAACATGGTAGATTGCACCATATCTAATATGGACCCCCATGAAATAATAATTGAATTATTAAAACTAAATTTAAATATGTATTTACTTTATTTGATCCATCACTATTTTTTTTTTTTTGGCTAGAAAATCAAACTGTTTGGCCATAGAAATAATTGAAAGGAATTCTGTCATAGCTGTACGGCAAAAGTATTTTCTCACTCAACATCTAATCAGACATTTATATGTTTTTTTAATACTCTCACCGTTTTAAAATCTATGTCTTTTAAATTTTTACACACGTATTAAAGAATGTAATTATATTATTATAAAACATTATATTTTTATTAAATTAATCTTATTAATATATTGAAAGGAGTGTATATAATTGAAAGACATAATTGAAAAAATTATTATTATTATATTGAAAAATAGAAAAAATAATATTTATTTTAAAATAATTTTTTTTCTTTAAAACGATACTTATTTTAAAATGCAGAATTATAAGATTTTGTGTATATCGTTTTGTCTCCTATAACAACCATATATTGTCTTTATTTAGATGAAAAAAGTTGTCTTAACTTTTTCCCTTTATATTTTCTCTTGGACCATCTTTTTTATGCAATTTCATGGGACCGTTTGTCGTGTGAATTGAATTTTATATACTTTTTATAATCAATAGTTCAATTTGAAATGTAGTGATCTTAGTTTGGTAGTAATAGAAATATGTTATGATTTTAATGTAAGAAATTTTGCAGAAAATCTTTATTCATTTTGAGCTTTGTTAAGAATAGCTAGATAAATTTGAATACTAGTACTATTTAGAAGGAAAAATAGAAAAAGGTTTAATATTAAGTTGATCTTGAAATTCAAAAGTGTTGTAAGTTATGATGATGTTGTAATGTAAATAAGCATCGAAGTGATTGGTAGACAAAAAGTGAGGATGGTGCATTGGTTTGACAAGAGCAGCTTTTCTAGGATTTGTAGTCAAAGAATGCAAACCAAGCATGAGTTGGAGTTCAATTTACAGATTGCCAAGACTTCGGTGGATTAAGCAATCATTCGTGTGTGGGTTAGTGTTATTATTAGACTTCTTATTAGGGTGATCAAATTTAAACCGTTCGATCGATCTATTGTCTTTTTTATGTAAATAGATTGGGATCGGGTGTCGAGTTGATCGGATTAAATAATTTTAATATTATACTATTGATTCGGTCGAACTCAGAAACTTATTTAAATTCGTCGAAAATCGAATCCGATCAAACTTAACAAATTTTTATTTTATATATCTTTTATTACTATAAAGTTGAACCACTATAAAAATAAGATTCATAATGTGATCAAATTATTATTCTTTTTATAATTTAATGGTAGCATACACTCACAAAAATACAAAATATGTAATATAAAATTTTAAGGGTTATTTAATTTGTAGTTTAAAGTATGATAATGAGCAAATTAATATCAAATGATATTTGAAATGTATAACATGATAATAACGTTTTTTCAATAATAAAAAAAAATAGTTTTTTTTAGTTATTCTAAAATTTTGATAATTTTTTTAACTAAAAGATAAATATTTGTGAATTTTATAAAAGATGAGTCATTTTTATAGATTTATTCTAATAAATATTAAACTGATTTAATCCACCTGATTTATCTGTCTAATTGATTAAATCAAATTCGCCGAAAAACTAAAATTTTATCAGTAGAAATTGGGCCTTAATAATAAAACTGCGATTTGCATCGGATTTAAAATTTTGGTCCGGTTTCAACCCAAACCGATCGATTGTCCCCCTCTAAGTCTTATATAATATTCTTATATGTTTTATGTTCTGAACTTGTCCAATGATTAGAATTCGCTCAATCTTCTTCTACCTCCAACATGGCCCGACAACTTTGGCCCACCAGCTCTGGCCCTTCAACCAAGCACACTTGGTCGACTGCATCTCATGAACAGAGAGACTAACGATGTCCTGAGCCATGCGCCCGCCCGCATCGGCAACTACCTCCAGGTCTGCTCGACACACGTGGAGCAGACAACCAGGAAAGTCTATAATGTATCTGCCCGTAATCTCTACCTTGCTCAGAGTAACATCTAGTTACGAGCATGACTGTCCATTTTGACTGTGTTCTGGCAGTTACCTATTTTTTAGGAACCTAATATCTAGGTCCAAAAATAGGAACCAATAGTCAAGCGTCAGGGACACTATATAAACTCTCACACTTGTGAGGACCATGTATCAAATATTCACTCTAAAAACCCTAATTTCTTTCTTGTATCTCTCTGCACTCCTTCTTACTTGAACGCCAGAGTGTCTTGCAGATACACCCCATATTCTCCTCAAATTTCCAGCCAAGCAGATGTCATCTTCTCGGCCCACTTCAGTTTCTGATCAACCGGAAAAATCAGTGGTGCCATATGTGGGAATCTTTCTTTCTCGTCTTCCTTTTCCTCAAAACTGAAGATCAAAGCGACTTTCACGACTTCTATCATGGTTGACCATTATGCAAACACTTTTCTGGAAATATTGTGCTCTCCCTCATCTATAAGATAGATTGGAACGAAGAACCTCCTCATCTAGAGGATATCCCTGACATCAGAGATGGTCGAACCACATCTCTCGACTCGGTCAACACCAATCGTAAAGACATTCATTTCTTGGAGGACCAGAGGTCCAAAAAGTCCATCGAAGAGGAACTGCCTGCAATCCTTCAACCAGTTCTGATTCCTCCCAACACGAACTCGACCATGGAAGCTCTCACTGCCCTTAACCAAATCAATGCCCTAATCCAGCAACAGATCAACATGATTGGAGCTTGGTAACAAAAGCGGTCAAAGTCTCCTCCTCGGAGACACCAACGTTATGACTCCCGCACCCCATCACCTCTAAGGTGTGGCCATTTTCCCGCGCGGGAGAAGTAAGAAGTTTTTTTCCTCAAGAAATAGGGTCGCACACCTCCTCGTAAAGATCAATGCTCCCCGATCTCTAAGAAGACAAAGAATGATCAACAACTTGATCGTGACTACTCATTGTCGCCCAAGACAAAGTAGATGCCAAGAAGCATATCTATCCGTCGAGACAACGACCCCCGACGAGGAAGAAACCATTACTCTCCACCTCCATCACCTGATAAGAGTGACGAGGACGATCCCCGTGGTCCTTTGTCTAGAGAAATCATGGATATTCCACTGCATGTTGGGTTGGAGAAATCCCCTCGATTGGGAACCTACGATAGAACCACAGACCCCGGCGAGCATATCGAGAACATCGATGCTCTGCTCGATTACAGAGGGGTCTGAGGAGCGATCAAATGTAGACTCTTCCCTACAATGCTCAGAAAAAGGAGCCATGGCTTGGTACGAAAGCCTCCTCGATGAATCAATCACATCTTGGAGGAGCCTGGGGAAACAATTCTCCAGGAACTTGACGGCTTCTCGCCACCACCCCAAGTCAGAAGCATCGATGAAGGCCATCATCCAGGGGAAGGATGAGTCCCTCTGAGCATACATTGAAAGATTCAACAAAGAAGTCGTCCAGGTCTCCACGACTGACGAAATGAAGAAGTACCT